GTACATGTTGTTTCAAGGTTAAGTCAGCATGTGCTTCTCGCGCGTTTTTCCTCTCATGGATTATTTGAGATCGTTCGTTGAATAGTTTAGCATTGGTATTCGTTCAAGGCAATACTCGTAAAATATCTTAATTGTCATTTCAATGTTATATTATATATATAGAAACATTTAAACTTTAATTTAACCGACATTTTAAGTAGGCGGGGCTATTTATTGATCGTTTCGTCAGTTATTCTTTTATCCGCCAAATATGTGACTATGTATACGAGGGCAGGCATACGAGGGCAGCAGAATATTTTAGGAATTGTAATAGTTCTGCAGGGCTGGCACACAACGAAATGTAATTCTTTACTCTGATCTCCTTTCTTGTATAGAAGATACACTGCAAATGCACCACGTCACAATGTATACACAACATTAAAACAACTATTTAATTTCAAGATTAAATGCCCTGTTTAAAGGTAAATCAAGCGAACGTCGTCACATAATGTGATATTTTTTCGTCTTTTGAACTGGCTCAAGGTCGCCACACCCTCATAAGATACTTATCCTCACCGATAGACATATTTCAAATTTAATTTCAAGGTTAACTGCAACGTTTAAAGCGTGAGAAATGAAGGTCATAAACAATCTTCCTTATTCACACCACACTACACAAATTTAATTTCAAGGTTAACGGCAATGCAAAGGTCAAATGAAAGTCACCTACGTCACCTTCGGCTTTCAGCCTCAAGGTCATCCATAGACCAACGTCATCGGCCTCAAGGTCATCCCAAGCCAGAAAGTGGACCCTACTGTCTGCTATAGAGAAAGCTCCGGTACTGCGCTCGGAAAATCCATATGATTTACGCAATTTATTGGACATATTTTCCGAAAATATAGAAGCTCTTCAAGAACTCCAACATCCGGTAGACCAATGGGACTTTATCTTGGCACATATGTTGTTAAATAAAATACCTCAAGAAACTGCTACTCGGTTTGGATTGCTTTACAGCAATACTTCTGATACAATGCCTAATTATAAAGATATTTTTCAATTTTTAGACAATCATTGTAATGCCTTAATTACTATAAAACGCTCGTATAAACAAAAGGGTAAATCAAAAGAATTTACTCAAGGTGTACCGCCATCCTCGCGCTATATAACCTAAATCTAATATATAATTCTAAATCATTTGTAAGTACTACAAACTCATCGCAAAATTGTTTACTGTGTAATAATAATCATATTATTTACAAATGTCCAGACTTTAATTCCAAAAGTCCTCACGACCGCTTTCAGATTGTAAAACAACATAACCTATGTGTTAACTGTTTAAGTAATGTTCATAAAACTATTGATTGTCAGTCTAGTTCCTTGTGTAGAACTTGTAAGAAGAGGCATCACTCTTTGTTACATTTTAATCGCTCTGTTGATCCAAATAACATACATAATTTACCTTCAACCAGTGGTCAAGCTGCCGTGGATAATTCGCTCTCGGATAATACCACGCAAGCTTTAACTAGTTTTTCTCAGTCTCCTTCAGATGTGTTATTTGCAACAACAATTTGCAAACAAGTTTTATAACAGAAAAATGTGTTAATCGCTTAAGTTTACCAAAAATTAAAATTTCATCNCACCCTCATAAGATACTTATCCACACCGATAGACATATTTCAAATTTAATTTCAAGGTTAACTGCAACGTTTAAAGCGTGAGACAAATGAAGGTCATAAACAATCTTCCTTATTCACACCACACTACACAAATTTAATTTCAAGGTTAACGGCAATGCCAAAGTCAAATGAAGGTCATCTTCTCATGTAAAAAACTCCTCCTCTCTCAGATACCATACAAATCTAATTTCAAGGTTAACTGCAATGCAAAGGTCAAATGAAAGTCACTAACCTACGTCACCTTCGGCTTTCAGCCTCAAGGTCATCCATACACCAACGTCATCGCTCCTCCTCTCTCAGATACCATACAAATCTAATTTCAAGATTAACTGCAATGCAAAGGTCAAATGAAAGTCACCAACCTACGTCACCTTCGGCTTTCAGCCTCAAGGTCATCCCAAGCCAGAAAGTGGAGGGTGGAGACTGATAAACGGTAAAAATACCTTACTGCAGACCAATGTGCTTGAGCAAGCAACCGTTTGTTTTGATAACGTTTAACAAGACTGTTATAAGCAATTTCATAATTAGAAGCTCTCATAGGCAGATATTTAACAATCTTCAGCGGGGGACCTTCCATTGACGATATCAAATAACTAAATTTTTCTATGGGAGTTAATTTAGGATTTTTATGTATTATCGAATTAAACATATCGATAAAGGCAGGAAAGGATTCAATATCGCCTTTAAATTTAAGTAAATCAAGTTTAGGTAAACTGACATTACTTGAAGTTTTAGCGAGATTTGCTTGGGGACGCATCTGCACTGAACAACGCGTTAAAAATGGATTTAATTCGGAAAAAAGTTTTATCAAATTCATACATTATTGCCAATGTATCTTTAAATTCATCCTCGTCATTAAAAATTATGTTAATTAAAGCTACATGTTGTTTATTAAATTCCGATTTAATATCTTCTACTGAAGAATACATAGCTTTAAATAAGTCCCGTGCGTTAATATCAGAGCGGGCCTCTTCTGCGGTCTGGCACATATTCTCAATTTTATAAATTTCAACCTGACGCAAAGCTTTGATTTTCTTAACCTTTTCAGCCATTATAAAGACGAAAAACCCAAGAAATAGGCGAGTCAATTATGTCAATCCGGAGTTAGCGAGAGGTATATGATGAAAAGCGTAAGTAAGTAATGTTAAATAGCGAAGATATATTGCGAATATACAGCGATAACAAATCAAAAAATAGCCAGAATTGAAGCAACTCTTAATAATGTAAACAAAGAATGTCAAAGCGGAGCTACCGACCGGTACCTGATAATAAATTTTCAAATGATACTGCGGCGACTCAAATTTAAGAAGCGTGCGCAAATCAAATTTCCCACTCCTACACCAAGATCTGAAGAACTCGAGGAGGACAAAGCACGTGGAAAATATAACGGCAAATTCAAATTAATATGGCGGCGAGTTTAGAAATTAAATATTTTAAAAATTTTGACAAAATTACTAATTCACATTCAAAATAACCCACAGAAATATTACGTAATCGCGGCTCGAAGGACCAATGAATAATTTGTTGTATTTTTAATTAATTCTGGATAGCTCCAGCTAAATAGAACTGGGCACGTAACTATCTTTAAGGTAAATTTTGAGTGACTTGAGACTTACCGCAGATTTTCCGGGGTCTTCCCTGTTGCAGAAGGCCCTCAGTCTTCAGTCCGGAGTGGAAACGGGGTGAAACAAATTTGCGGCACACTTCAATTTAATTAAAGCGAAAGTATGTTATATCAAATAGCGGCACTCGTGAAAACCAGCGATTAAGCGTGAACAACTGACGAGTCGAACCTCTACTCACCGTCTTCATGTAGCTATGTAAGTTGCAAGTCGGTATCGCGCAAATTAGACAAAAAAGAATAAAAAATTGAACAGAATAGCGGGTTATTTTGAATGCAAACTAAACTAAGGTTAAAATTAATTATATTAAAACTACTACTTTAAGGAATACTGAACAGAGATATTTTGGACATTATAGAATATGGGTATCCAAGAAGAGTGTATGAAAGAGCGAATTATTTTGAGGACATGGATCAGCTTACATTTTTTCAGAGATTTCGATTGACAAAACCTACTGTAGTTGAGAGTTTTAATAGATATATGTATATATTTTATTCTAGTCTATCTGTTTATTCCACGAGATACACAGTGCACAAAACACAGAAATTAACGAATTACAAATTGATTCGCAATAATTTTATAAATTATTAAGTACCTACGTCAACATCACTTTTGTCAACATGAATTCCCTAGAATTATCACTAAAAATGAGACGTTGCCAAACATACTTTAGCACTTAGTTAAGTATCCGCAGTGCAACTCATTTAGAGTTAAGTGACTCTTAAAATTTAAGTACTCCTTAGCTATTCTTTACTTAAATCGGAAACGGTGCAAACGCGCATTATACTTACAAAATTGAGATTTAAATCGAAAAATTTACCAAGTTTAGAACCAAGTTCATTTGAATCATTAGGCCGGTGTCCCATGCATTCGAATTCCGACGATACGAAGGTCCGAAAGTGTTCCTATTGGTTAATATACATTCAAATTTTTACCGCTCATTTTCATCCGAAATTTTTTAATTTCATACGACGTCGGAAAAGTAGAAATAATTTTAACTTTTATCCGAAATCGTACGTTCTTTAACCTCACTTTTTTATTTCGTAACATGCTATGATTGTTGTTTGGTATATTTACAGTCAAATAAATGTTATATTATAATGTCGAATGTAGAAAATATAATACTACGTATATTTTCTACGATATATACCTATGGTTGTCATTTGAAAATGTTTCACCTTCATCTTGTAATAAATTCCATGGTTCTATACTTTGATTTCTATGAGATTAATTTCGGATGCATGTGAATTATAATATTATCGTACGTATGAATAGTCATAACCGTACGATAAGTAAAAAATATATTTTTAAAAACCTTAATTGACACTTTTGCTAAGATATTTATACTAAAATTGTTTAAAATTTTTGAGCTATTACTTTACAAATACATTTTAAAACTATATAACCATAAAAACTTTGCTCAGCCATGCGGTAGCATGGAATTCTAATTGAACCAAAGAATCATAACCAAACCACAGCTTATACAGCTCCCCAACTGTCTTGGCGGGAACGGTTAGCGTCGACTCCGCCGCGCAGCGTTTATGCCCCGCCTTCCAGCGGAAAANTGCAATGTCAAATGAAAGTCACCAACCTACGTCACTTTCGGCTTTCAGCCTCAAGGTCATCCATACACAAACGTCATCGGCCTTCGGCCTCAAGGTCATCCCAAGCCAGAAAGTGGAGGGGGGAGACATCAAAACGGTAAATATACCCTACTATAAAGATTTATGACGTGAGCCGTATATTAAGCGAGATCCATAGGAGTGGCCCTTTTATAGTAGACAGCTATATAGTACAATGACCTTAATTGACAAATCAAATATAGGTTACCCACTTATACTATAAATCATCCAATAAACAAATTCAACTACTGGCAAAAAATCCTACTAATTCGTAAAATATTTTGTGCCGATTGTAATTAAAGCTAATGGTTTATTTTTTTAATGTCTCCTCACCTATGGTTTCTAATGTCAAAGATGAATCTTATGTACCACTGTTTGTGCGCTAGCTATCGGAGAAATTGAAGTGTAGAATTTAAGAAATCAGTCAGTTGTAAAAAAATATAAAATATACATATGTTTTAAAGTTTATATCTTGGTAGAGAGTCAATTTTCTTTTTTAATTTCTAAAATATGTTTCCTTTTCAGAGAAAATTTTCATTCGCTTAGCATATTACAAATAAGAGCAAACCTTTAATTACTTTATAATGAATTTAGTGTTTATTGTGTATTTTGAGTGGATAGATATTTTTTTAGTTTAGATTTACTCTATACATTTTAGATATTCGGCACAAAGATATTTCATGTAATAAATGCAGTTCTGCTGATATACATGGAATGAGATACAAATGTAACAATTGTCATGATTATGATTTATGTTATATATGTTACCATGGAGATAAACACAATTTGAATCATAGTTTTACAAGAATTGAAACGCCGTATTCTAATGGGTAAGTAAATAAAAGTTAATTAGAATTGTAACATTTGAACTTTCTTCTCTTCAGTATTTACCTGTCACCTCGTTTAATTTCTAAGAAGTGCCAGTTGCGGAGTATCTTTAAGGGTGCAAGAGTTGTTCCAGGTATTGATTGGGCTAGAGATAGCCAAGATCGAGGTAATTATATTTATTGCTTGTCAAAACTACACAAGCAACAAATTTTACTTATGGTAATTTCAAGCTTATATTAAATGGAGAAAAATACATAGGTGACTAGTAATGGCAGTTTACATGCACAACCTCTTTATTTTTATTTTCTCTTTGTTTTGTACAGTAACTAATATTTATTTGCATGTCAAAAAGTATATTTTTGTACATATACAGGCTGTTACAAATTCGCTTCTCACTACAGGGATCTCGGAAATGGTAAGAGCTACGAAGTAGATTAAATGGGGGCAAAGTTGCGTAATCAGGAGACCAACATTATGCCTCTAAAAAATCAAGGCGAACATGATTAGTTTTCGAAATATTTGAAAAAAAAACGAAATTTTGGAAATACGTTTTTCATTTCAGCCTTGTTTGAGGTGATATTGAAAAATGAACAACACTTTCTCATGACCACTTTTTGCCCTCTATCGAATGGCCTAATCAATTTTTGTATGTAACGTTTTGTCTCTCCAGGACCATCATAAACTTAATTTTTTTAAATACGACATACCTCAATAAGTTGTTGCATCAAAATTAAAACATTATTACAATTTTAATTTTATTATGACAAATTAATTCTTAAAAATACATATGAGCAACCAAAACGGCAACTGAATATTATTCTTTAAAAAATGTCAGTAAATGTTTAAAAACATTAATGAAGATCAGCGTAATATTATCGGAATTTATTATATCTGTAACCAGGGTTGAGAAATTGATGCCTAAAAAAAAAGGAAAGGAAAATCTAAGAGTCAAAATGTGTTTTCGAAGAAATCGAACTCAAAGAAAAAAAAAAGGACGTACTCAGGAATATCTACTACTCTACTCTACTTCGTAACACACCTGGAGTGGAAAATAATTGATGTCTAAAAAAAAACGACGGAATCAGGAAATGGAGAAGAAATCACGAAAATCTAGAAAACCCAGAGAAATGACATGTTAACCCGGAGCCCGAAGATGTACCATCAAAACCCGAAGACTCCGGTTCAAACCTGGAGATCTGGCAACCCTATCAGTAGGGTATATTTACCGTTTTGATGTCTCCCCCCTCCACTTTCTGGCTTGGGATGACCTTGAGGCCGAAGGCCGATGACGTTGGTGTCTGGATGACCTTGAGGCTGAAAGCCGAAAGTGACGTAGGTTGGTGACTTTCATTTGACATTGCATTGCAGTTAACCTTGAAAGAGGCCGAAGGCCGATGACGTTGGTGTATGGATGACCTTGAGGCTGAAAGCCGAAAGTGACGTAGGTTGGTGACTTTCATTTGACATTGCATTGCAGTTAACCTTGAAAGAGGCCGAAGGCCGATGACGTTGGTGTATGGATGACCTTGAGGCTGAAAGCCGAAAGTGACGTAGGTTGGTGACTTTCATTTGAC